GGAGAAGTTGGCGAGTCCTTCAGCAAAGGGACAAATGGCTAGAAACCCGGGGCTCCAGGACTCTAGGGGCGACCAGAGACGAGGAGGAGGCAGTATGCTGTGCCAGTCAGGCCAGGTCCCTGAAAGAATGAACAAGGCTCGTTGTTGGAGAAAATGCCCGTTTATTCAGGAACAGCTCTGCATATTTATAGAGCCGAGGGTGGTTTGACAGTTATGACAGTTTAACAGTTGAAGGGTTTGACAGTTGGCATGGGATGGTTTCTGATTGGTGGTAAGGGTCATGTGAGCCAGCAGGGCTCACCATTGAACGGCTCTTCTGAGGGATAGGGAAATTTTTTTGGAGCCCTGATGACTCCCAACAGTCCAGGCTCTTACACTGGAGCCATGCCCTCAGGCAAGCCCTCCTCACTTCACTGGTGAGGAAATGAGACTCACGAAGGCCACAGGATGTCTCGGTGCTCTGTGTGGCTGCTACAAGGTTAGGAACAAGAACTGAATCATCACCATGCCGCTGCCCAGTAGCCACTTCAAAAGGCTGGGCAGAAGGAGCGCCAGATGGAGTACGCACGCTCTGTTGTTTACAGCCTCCCCAAGGATGCCCGCACCCTAGCCCCCCAGATGCTGCTTACACACCAGACATGGCACTCGGGATTTTCCATGTGATTCGATTAGGAACCCTGAGATGAGGAGAGGACTCTGCATTACCCAGGTCCAAAGTAATCAGGAAGATCAGAGTCAGAGAAGGAGATGTAATGAAAAACAGAGGGAGAAACCGGAAGATCTCCGCAGCACTCTGCAGACTGAAGTTGAAGGCTGTGGCCTGCAGCCATGGAGGGTAGGCAGCCTCCAGAAGCTGAAAAAGTGAAGGAACAGATTCTCCCCTGCAGCCTCTGGAAGGATGGCAGCCCTGCTGACACCTTAAGATCTCTGACCTCCAAAACTGTGGGAATCAATACGCACTGTCTCACCTCAGAAGTGTGGCCACCTGTTATGGCAGCCATGGAAATGTGACAGAACTTGGTCCCACCATCCCCACGGCCCCAGGACCACCCTCACAGCTCAGCAACTTTTCCCAGCAGAGGAGATTCCTGTGGCTGGTAGCAGGACCAAGGGGCACCAGGGCAGCCACAAACAACCAAATAAGCTTGAAATAAGAGGAGCCCATAGGCGTTGGCTGCCCAGCAGGAAGAAATCTCCAGAGGAGCTGGATAATAACTCTGAGCTCATCCAAATCTCACAATCAGCAAGTTAGGAACTTTTAGGCACATTTTAGAGAAGAGAAAATGGGATCCTCAGAGGATAAATGACCTGCCCAAGGTCTACAGAATTGAGGGCTCTGTCAGCTCAGATTACAAAAGTGAACT